AATGAAACCGACGGAGGATTCGGTAAGGTCTGGGAGAGAGCTGAGGAGGTTGGTGAACACTGTGTGCCCTGTTGGGGACTGGGAGGAGGGGCAGGGGAGGAGGGGAGTGGGGAAGAGGCGAGGAGGAAGTTATGAGGCAAGAAGCAGCGAGAGGGAATGAAACCGACGGAGGATTCGGTGAGGTCTGGGAAAGAGCTAAGGAGGTTGGTGAAGACGGTGTGACCTCTTGGGGACTGGAAGAGGGGGTAGAGGAGCCTGTTTTTGAGTCGACTCAAAAACAGGATCTGACCTGTTGGGGACTGGAAGAGGGGGGGCAGAGGAGCCTGTTTTTGAGTCGACTCAAAAACAGGATCTGACCTGTTGGGGACTGGAAGAGGGGGGGCAGAGGAGCCTGTTTTTGAGTCGACTCAAAAACAGGATCTGACCTGTTGGGGACTGGAAGAGGGGGGCAGAGGAGCCTGTTTTTGAGTCGACTCAAAAAGAGGATCTGACCTGTTGGGGACCGGAAGAGGGGGGGCAGAGGAGCCTGTTTTTGAGTCGACTCAAAAACAGGATCTGACCTGTTGGGGACCGGAAGAGGGGGGGCAGAGGAGCCTGTTTTTGAGTCGACTCAAAAACAGGATCTGACCTGTTGGGGACCGGAAGAGGGGGTAGAAGAGCCTGTTTTTGAGTCGACTCAAAAACAGGATCTGACCTGTTGGGGACCGGAAGAGGGGGTAGAAGAGCCTGTTTTTGAGTCGACTCAAAAACAGGATCTGACCTGTTGGGGACCGGAAGAGGGGGTAGAAGAGCCTGTTTTTGAGTCGACTCAAAAACAGGATCTGACCTGTTGGGGACCGGAAGAGGGGGGGCAGAGGAGCCTGTTTTTGAGTCGACTCAAAAACAGGATCTGACCTGTTGGGGACTGGAAGAGGGGGGGCAGAGGAGCCTGTTTTTGAGTCGACTCAAAAACAGGATCTGACCTGTTGGGGACTGGAAGAGGGGGGCAGAGGAGCCTGTTTTTGAGTCGACTCAAAAACAGGATCTGACCTGTTGGGGACTGGAAGAGGGGGGGCAGAGGAGCCTGTTTTTGAGTCGACTCAAAAACAGGATCTGACCTGTTGGGGACCGGAAGAGGGGGGGCAGAGGAGCCTGTTTTTGAGTCGACTCAAAAACAGGATCTGACCTGTTGGGGACCGGAAGAGGGGGTAGAAGAGCCTGTTTTTGAGTCGACTCAAAAACAGGATCTGACCTGTTGGGGACCGGAAGAGGGGGTAGAAGAGCCTGTTTTTGAGTCGACTCAAAAACAGGATCTGACCTGTTGGGGACCGGAAGAGGGGGTAGAAGAGCCTGTTTTTGAGTCGACTCAAAAACAGGATCTGACCTGTTGGGGACCGGAAGAGGGGGTAGAAGAGCCTGTTTTTGAGTCGACTCAAAAACAGGATCTGACCTGTTGGGGACTGGAAGAGGGGGGGCAGAGGAGTACGGGGGGGGAGAAACGAAGGACCATCTGAGTCATGAGGAAGTGAGTGAGAGGCAACGAATCTGAAGGAGGATTCGGTGAGGTGAGGTCTAGTAGGGAGCTCAGGAGGTTGGTGAAGACGGTGTGACCTGTTGGGGACTGGAAGGTGTGTTTTGAGTCGACTCAAAACACACCTAAACACACTTGGGGACTGGAAGGGGGAAAAAAGGAGGAGGCGGAGAGGGGAGGCGGAAAGGGGGAACATATTGTATCAGGCGTGAGGCAGAGGGAAGCTATGAAACCGAAGGAGGATTTTGCTTTTGAGAATTCTCAAAAGGGGAGGATTCTGTGAGGTGAGGGGGTCTTTTGAGGCGCCTCAAAAGTCATGTCCCCTCGTGAAGCACACTTGATGAGTGACGTGACGTGGTGCTTTCTCCACAGCAGACAGTAATACGTCACCCATCAAGTAGCCTATTCACCAATACATCGGCGAATACTCCCCAATCCAATGTAAGCAGCCCCACCACCCAACCCAGCATCCCACTCACCCTGTCCTTCTTCATATCCCAATGCGCATTCTCCACTGCAGACAGCAACAACTCGTTATCCACCGCTCCTTTCTCACCCAATACCGCACTCAACCACTCCTTGTACAACCACTACCCCACTCACCCTGTCCTTCTTCATATCCCAATGCGCTTTCTCCACAGCAGACAGCAACAACTCGTTATCCACCTCCTCCTCTTCCTCCTCTTCTTCTTCCTCCTCCTCTTCCTCCTCCTCATCTCCCTCTTCTTCCTCCTCTCCTCCTTTCCCCCCCTCTCCTTCTCCCCCTCCCCCATCCCCCACCCCCCCTCCATCCCCTTCCCCATCGCTTTCCCCTTGCATTCCCCTCCTCTTCGGCACTAGCCTGCCAGGACACGAACTGACCAATAGCGGCTGGGCAGCTAAGCACTCCTCTGCCAGCGTGGCACCTGGTACTGGCCACAATCGCCCCGGATAGGCTCTCCTGCTACAGCCGCCGCTATAGCTTCTGCTACAGCCGCTGTGGTGGTTACACCTCTTGCTACAACCACCGCTACAGTTGCTGCTACATCTTCTGCTACGGTTGCTGATACATCCTCTGCTACAGCTGCTGCTACAGTGATGATTACACCTCGTGCTACAGCTGCTACTGTTGCCACAGGCACTGGCACACCTGCTATTGCTACCTGTTGTGCTACAAATATCACTACTGCATTTGCCACCATGATCAAGGCCGCTGCCATTGCCACTGCCGCCGCCACTGCCGCCGCCACTGCCATCACCACTGCCATCGCCACTGCCGCCGCCACTGCCATCACCACTGCCATCGCCACTGCCATCGCCACTGCCATCACCACTGATGGGACCTCCACGCTCCGTCCTTTCTCTGCAATAGCTGCTGCTGTTACTTCTATCATTGTTACCCTTCTCGCTGGTTCTGCTGCTGCATGGTCTTCGTCTGCAGATGTATCCCCTCGCCTGCCCAAGCCTGTCAAGCACTGCGCTTTCGAAACCCTCCCATCGATCCCAAGTCAAGTCAAACCTTCCTTCTCTGCTATCTTCTTCAAACCCTACTGCCGCCCTAGTTCGTCCCATCTCCCCTCCCTCCCACTCCTTCCTTTGCCTCCCTTCTTCTCCCTCTTCTCCCTCCTTTTTCTCCTCTCCCTGTTCGTCCCAGTACTCACACTCCCATTCCACATCATCCCACCCTCCCTCTCCCCAACCCTCCTCCTCATCACCCGTCCCAACCTCCTCCTCTTCAGACGAGCTACTACTATCCGACTCCTCATCCTCTATTATCTCTGCTAAAGCCTCTGCTACAAGAGCAGCGCCAGCTGAAGGGGACCTGGGCAGCTGAATCGACCGCCGGGCAGGCGAAAAAACGGAAGAAGGGGAAAAACCGGAAGCAGCAGGAAACGCGGGAACGGGCGAGAGTGGAGAGTCAGGGCAGAATGGGCGATTACCAGTGGGAGACAGGAGGCGGTTATTTGGCGAAAGAAGGCTGCTGCTGTTACTAGAGGAACCGAGGCGGTTACCCAGGAAAAAGGGGCGGTTGCTCGGCGAAAGGAGGTGGTTACGACGGGACAGGAGGCTGTCATTAGAGGATGTAAATGTAGAGGAGGCTGTCATATCATTCCTATTAGGCTGCTGCAAATCTCTGCTTGTCACAGCAGCAGCAGCAGCAGCAGCAGCAGCAGCAGCAGCAGCAGCAGCAGCAGCAGCAGCAGCAGCAGTCGTTTCGCCATGCATGGGCATCCGCGGCACCGGCAGCACATCCTGCTGGAAGGGAAGGTTCTGGGAAGGAGAATTCCGCAAAGGAAGGTTCTGCGAAGGAGGGTTATGAGAGCGTAACGCAGCAGAGGAGAAAGGACTGTGCATGCCCCCTCCTCCCATCATCTCCTCGGGGTTGAAACTGAAACTATCCGCAGAAGCTGCTCTCCTGTGGCCTTGCCCTCCCCTCCCCACCCTCCCCCCCATTCCCCCCCTGTTGCTGCTGCTGGTGTTGATTCCTCTACTAGGGCTGCACCAGCGGGGGGGGCGAGCTAGGGAAGGGGCAACGGGAGAGTTTCTGCTACCTTCATTCTGCCTGGCTTCGAGGTTTTGCCTGCTTGGCTGGTTGGACCCAGAGTGCTGCTCGTGCTGTCTGGTTTGCTGGCTGTTGTGACTAGTCTCTTGCTCCGGTTGATTGTGCTGCAGGTTGTTGTTGTGCCGCCCAGACGGCTCATTCTGCCTAGTGGACTGCTGATTGTGCTGCAGAGTTGGCTGGGAATTCCCCTGGGGATGCGGTGGAAAGCTGTTCGGATGACGGGATGGGTGGAGGGCGGTGGAGGGAGATACTGCAGGAGAGGCAGAGGGGGAGGGGGAGGAGGAGGAGGTGGAGGGGAGAGACGGGGCAGTGTGTGGGGAGGAGCGGCGAGGGTGCAGCGGAGGGAGCGAGTGAAGAGAGTAGTGAGGAGGGGAGTGAGGAGAGAGGGATTGAGGAATGGTGTCAGGAGGACAGGGAGTGGAGGGGGTGCTGTGGCTGCGAGGGTATGTGAGGGAGTTTTGCTGGCGGGAGCGGGAGGTTGGGGGTGAAACCGAGGCAGGAGGTCTGGTGAAACTCCTACGAGAAAGAGAGGAGGACGAAGCAACACCAACAACAGCAACAACAGGAGCAGCGGGAGCAGCAGCATGAGCAGAAGAAGCAGCAGCAGCAGCAGCAGCAGAAGCAGCAGCAGAAGGAGCAGCAGGAAGGGCTTCAGCAGTGGTGGGGAGATAACTCGTCGAGGTTGTGCTGCTAGTGGTTACACTGGGAACGGTAGAGCCAGTGCCATTTGGCAGCTGATCATTGGGTTGACGCCCCTCCCCTTGAACCTGCCCTTTTTGCCACTGCATAAGCAGCTGTTGCAGCACCTGCTGTTGCTCAGAGGTGGTCCCTATTGCTAGCTTCATGGGCCTCTCACTCTGCTGCAGCCCACTCTGCTGCTGCCCACTCTGCTGCTGCCCACTCTGCTGCTGCTGCTGCAGCCCACTCTGCTGCTTTGGCAACTCACTCTCACGTGGCCTCTCCTGAACCGGAGCTCCGCTGCTGCTGCTGCTGCTGCTGTCCTTTCTGCGACTCCCCTTTCTGCTGCTCTCCCTTCACATGCTCAACTGTCTCCTGCTGCATTCGCGGTTGCTCAGTTCCCTGCCCTTGAATTCTTCCTTGCTCCCTTCCCTCGACTTCTAACTGCTGCTCCTTGCCATCTCCCTCCCCCTGCGCCTCCCCCTGCGCCTCCCCCTGCGCCTCCCCCTGCGCCTCCCCCTGCGCCTCCCCCTGCGCCCACCCCTGTTCCTCGCCCTGCGCCTGCACCTGCGTCTCCATCTGAGCCTTCTCCTGCTCCTCTCTTTCTCCCTGCTCCTCCCTATCGCGGTTCTCCTGCTCCTGTTCCTGCTCCTTCTCCTTCTCCTTCTCCTTCTCCTGCTGCTCCTGCTCCTGCTGCTCCTGCTCCTGCTGCTGCTGCTCCTGTTCCTCCACTCGCCCCTTTATCCTAACTGACAAAACACCGTCCAAACACATCGCCCCTGCCACATGCATCTCCTCGCTATTAGCTGCTCCACTTCCCCCAGAAACCCTAACTCTCTTCTCTTCAACTCCTACCTTCTCCTCATGTAAAAAACCCTGTTCCTCCTGAGATCCCGCTACCTCCCTATCCTGAATCCGCGGTATACGCGTCTCCTGTCCTGCTATAAGCTTCTCCCGTTCCGGGTATTGCTCCGATACACTTCTCATAATCCCCACCTTTCCTCTTCTACCTTCCCCTTTAATATCACAACCCTCACCACTCAAATTCTCATGTGGCGCCTCCTGACGTGGCAAACGCTGTTGCTGACGTGGCTCCAGCGGCTGCTGCTGCTGCTGCTGCTGCTGCTGCTGCTGCTGCTGCTGCTGCTGCTGCTGCTGCTGCTGCTGCTGCTGCTGCTGCTGCTTCTTTCCCGCGTGAAACGGACGGTGGCGCTGCCACCAGTGGCCTAGCCTCACCTGCAGTTTCTTCCTCGGAATTTGCTGCATCTGCTGGAGCAACCTCATTGGTCGTCGCCAGCTCACCCTCGCCTCCTCCCCTTCAGTACCGGCCAATTTCGCCGATCTGGATCTGGAAATGTAAGAAACTCGGAAGTTAGCATCTGTGGTGTAGCTGGGAGCCTCATTCCAAGCCAAGTGGTCGATTTTATCCGCCACGTCATCACTACCTTCTGCAATTTCTCCTGCTTCTCGTTCTCCTTCTCCTTCTCCCTCTCTTTCAGCAGGAGCAGCAGCAGCAGAATCACCTTTGCTTTCTCGCACTCCACCTTTCACGTCTGACTGGTGGTCCAGGTCGCCTGACGGTAGGCTGTGGAACCGGGTCAGCTGCCGCCTATTTTCCCCAAGGCTGGCTTTGCTTTTCTCCCCCACACTGCTGGTTACAGCGCTGCTAATTACAGCGCTGCTGGTTACATTTTTAGAGTTAGTAACACGTGAACTGCTTTCCGTCTCGTTCGTGGCGCTTCTACAACTTAACTGCTGGCTGCTACTGCTGCTCCCGTCTATTCTGCTGCTGCTGCTGCTGTCTATTCTGCTGCTGCTGCTGCCGTCAATTCTGCTGCTGCTGATGCCGTCGATTTTACCGCTTCTGGTTCTGCTGCCGTCGATTTTGATAGGGCTTCCCCCGCCGAGCCTCCAGCTGCTTGTCAAGCTCATGCTCCGTAACGCAATATCGAAACTCTTTCTAACGGAACCTTGCGCATTTTCCCCGTCGTTACTGTCAGATTTCCTGATCCAACCTCGTTTCGCAGCAGCATTCGCGGAACCTTCCCGCGCGCTCTCCAGCGACAGCCTTTCAACACGAGGCGATCCGTTAGACGCGCCGTTATACGCGATATTAGCTTCATCTGGAACGCTGAATTTTGTCACTTCATCGGGAGCAGACTCCGCGACTGGGCTCAGAGGCAGGACGCTTACCTCGGACGCTGACGACGACTCCATTCAGCCGAATTAAGTAAAGAATGACCTTTTCCCTAAGCGAGCGAAATCATAACGCGGATGCGACAGCGAACCATCCCCACCCCAGACAGTGCGAGCCGAATCCTAAAGTCGGAGTTTGACAACCATAAGCCAGTCCTCCACCTACTCTCTACACACGCCAATCCTGTTGTATGCTGTACGGGCGCTCGACTTTATTTGTCTATGGGTTCACGACGCCATGGCGCATGGCCTTTGGCCAACCTGAGTTTCTTGGTCGAGTGGTACAGAAAGTTGCTGAAGAAGCTTCGGTTTGTGGTGGCGTGGCGAGGGAAAGGAAGGGGGGCGCGGGGGAGGGGGAGTAGAGGTTGCGGGCGGGCGGGAGCCTGCGCGCCCCTCGACTTGTTTCCCGTCCCGAGCGCCAATGTACATCCCTTGCTTCCGCGCGCCATGATCGCAGCCATGATGGTCTCTGGTTGCGAAGCGAGGTGGCCGAGGGAAGCGCGTGTATCCAGCTCAAATACACATGCCCAAAGTGTATCTAGCGACGAAATGATTTGCGTGCTACATCAAGGTTATGTTTCAGGAAATCTCTCAGCTGATATCCAGCTACGGCTAATTTGACGTAATAAGTATAGTAGATCCCTTCACAATGACATTTGTATATGTGAATGTGGTGTTTTTTTGACGGCTTAGGGATCGGAAGTGGGTTGAAAAAAAGTTCCAGTTCCATAGCTTGACAATTTTTGTGAATTATTTATTTCCGAGCGTAGTTCTTAAGGGGGGATTTACTGTTCACTTTGAACAGTACTTTCCAGCTCACCCTTATCCTTATCTTCTTAGATTTCCTAGTGCCACGTGGCACTCTACTTTCTTTGCTTCCAATTCCTAGTCCCACATTCTACTTTCCAACATTTCTTCTTGCATGCTATATAAACCTTGCTTGTATTCCCTCATATCAACCAATTCTCATTCAACTCTTCTTCAATTACTCAGTAACTCCTTCGCCTATTTCGCTAGTAGTTCTTTCGCCAAAGTCTTCCGCCGCGCTTCATCCTCGACTTAGTCGACCCCGCTAATTCTTTAGCGGACTTAGGCCAGCGGGCCTAACACTTGGTATCAGAGCCTTCGCGGGGAGCGACTTCCAACGAGCGACCGTCGACGACGAGACTACGCCGTCATCGTCCCGCGGTGCCGACTTGCAGACTTGGAGTCGTCGAGCGAACATGGACGAATCCATGAACGCTTTCCCCCACGACATGGGCAACACGCTTGCCGAGCTCATGCGTCAACGTTAGGACCGACCCGAAGAAGATCGCAGCGGTACAGGATTGGGTAGCACCGACCTCAGTCAAGGAGTTGCAGAGCTTTCTCGGATTCGCGAATTACTACCGCCGTTTCGTTCAGGGTTACGCTTCCATCGCTAGTCCACTCACCGACCTACTTCGGAAAGGCGTAGAGTACGTTTGGGGTCCAGCGCAGCAGCAGGCGTTCGAGCAGATGAAGCAGTCGCTCACGTCTTCACCGACACTGTCGTACCCTGATCCCACTCGCCCGTACGTTGTAGTGACCGACGCTTCAGATCAGGCCATAGGAGCAGTACTTCTTCAGGACCAGGGACGCGGGTTGCAGCCGATCGCGTACGAGTCGCGTAAGCTTAGGGGAGCGGAACTGAACTATCCGATACACGACAAGGAGGCGCTAGCGATCATCCATGCGTATAAGGTGTGGAGGTGCTACCTAGAGGGGGCAGACAGTGTTATACGCACGGACCACTGCTCGCTTCGCTTTCTCAAGTCGCAACCGCAGCTGAGTCGTCGCCAGGCTAGATGGATGGAGTTCATGGAGGGGAGCTTTCATTACAGGATAGAGTACAAGCCAGGCGTGCGCAACCCAGCAGATCCGCTCACTCGCCCTAGTTGTCAGCTCGCTAGCCTCACAGTCACTGCAGGCCATCCACTTCTCACAGCACTCTTCGAGCACGGTTACACAGTAGATCCCGACTTCACACCGCAGCCGCCCGCAGGAGCAGAGGTGCAGGGTAGTGTTTACATACGGAAGGGCACCACACGGATTTGGGTTCCAGCCTACCGCCCTCTTCGACAGCTCCTCTCAGAGGCGCACGACGTAGTTAGTGCAGGTCACTTCGGAGCAGACAAGACGGCTAAGACGCTTAGTCGCACGTACTACTGGCCAGGGCTTGCAGCAGACGTAGAGGATTACATTCGCTCGTGTGACACGTGTCAGCGTACGAAGTCCTCGCGACAGCGCAAGGCAGGACTTTTGCAGCCGATTCCACCGCCCGACCGCCCTTGGCAGGTAGTTACCATGGATTTCATCATGGCATTACCGCGCACAGTTAGGGGTCACGACGCCATCTTCGTTGTAGTCGACAAGTTTTCTCGAGCAGCGCACTTCATCCCCACGCACGGCCAGGTCACAGCAGAGGAAGCCGCGACGCTGTTTGTAGATAACGTAGTTCGACTGCACGGGGTTCCAGATTCGATTATTTCCGACCGCGACCCTCGATTCACCTCAAAGTTCTGGAAGCAGCTTTTCGCACTGTTTGGGACTCGCTTAGCCATGTCGTCTGCGTACCATCCAGAGACAGACGGACAGACTGAGCGTGTGAACCAGACCTTGGAGCAGATCCTTCGCAGCATCACGATGCACGACGCAGCAGCATGGGACAAGAAGCTGAGCATGGCTGAGTTCGCCTACAACAACACGCACCACTCCGCCACAGGCATGTCACCGTTCTTCGCACTGTACGGTCAGCACCCCAATGTCCCCACTCGTGTCGATCTCACACCCACCGTCCCTCGTGCGGACAACTTCCACCAGCATCTCACTTTCATTCATGATCACGTGAGGAAGCACCTTGAGCTCGCAAATGCACGCATGGCACGCACCACCAACCGCAGTCGTCGTGAGGTGTCATTTTCTGTTGGGGACCGTGTCCTTCTCGACAGCCGCAACCTCCGACTGCCACAGGACAGCAAGCTTCGCCCACGTTTCATTGGTCCATTTGTCATTGAGCGCGCACTTGGTCCAGTCGCATACCGCCTTCGCCTTCCCGCTCATTTCCGCATGCACCCATCATTCCACGTGTCTCTCCTTCGGCCTTACACCGATCCCAACACCACCTTCTCGGGCCGTGATCGCACTCCACTGCCGGTAGCTGTTGACACCGACGAGCCCGACTACCAGATCCAGCGCATCCTCAGGCACCGTCGCCGTCTGCAGGGAGGTGTCTCTTTCATCGACTTCTTGGTTCGTTGGCGTGGTTACGATGCAGCCGACGACAGCTGGGTTCCTTCGTCCTCGCTGTCTCCCGACAACGCTTGCCTCCGAGCGTACCTTCAGTCTGCAGGCGCCGCGGACGTCGCCTCCTTGGGAGGGGGGTAGTGTTAAGGGGGGATTTACTGTTCACTTTGAACAGTACTTTCCAGCTCACCCTTATCCTTATCTTCCTAGATTTCCTAGTGCCACGTGGCACTCTACTTTCTTTGCTTCCAATTCCTAGTCCCACATTTTACTTTCCGACCTTTCTTCTTGCATGCTATATAAACCTTGCTTGTATTCCCTCATATCAACCAATTCTCATTCAACTCTTCTTCAATTACTCAGTAACTCCTTCGCCTATTTCGCTAGTAGTTCTTTCGCCAAAGTCTTCCGCCGCGCTTTATCCTCGACTTAGTCGACCCCGCTAATTCTTTAGCGGACTTAGGCCAGCGGGCCTAACAGTAGTCGTGAAGGTACACTATCAGACTCTACCGAGAATAGATCTCGTGGCTGGTGTGCACCCTCCAAGTCAGTCGCGTCTTCCGGAAGCACTTCAGCGCAAGGGTTTCAGTTGGCGGCCGAATCGACGGACATTAACGTGTCAGATCATCATCATCGACGGTTCTCGCCAACCCAAAACGCAGACGGGTGTCTATCTGTGAAGCTTGCTTCCCTCCCAAGATTCTCCCGTGTTCCAACTTCCACGGCACCTCCAAAAAGGAGATTCTCAAAACAGTCCTCACTTTTCATATGATCCCAAGGTCCCCCTAACACACTTCCTGTCTTCTCGATCTTAGGTGTGAGCTGTTATTCCGCCTAGGGAATGCCTGAATCATACTTGCTTGCTTTCAAGCTTCAGCATTTGTATATTCTGTAACTGAATCTTCTCGGCGACCAGGTTCAGCTCGAGACTTTCGTCGCCCGTGACCTTGTACCTCGGCTCATTTCGGCTAGCGTCCGCACTTGTTTGTTTAGTCGCGGTTGCGCGTGCTACCCGGTTGCGCTTTGGTCGAAATCCTTGTTGCGACATCGTAGCAACATCTCGACGACATGGGTGGAGGCAACGGACAAAAGGCTAAGATGGCTCGCGAGAAGGCTCAGGCTAAGATGCAGGCTAACCGAGGTACAGTAACTCATTCATTTCCCAATAGTTATTGTTTTCTCATCGGTTTGTAACCTTATGGCGCCAACAGCTTTGTTATAGCTAGGTAACTCTACCAATTCCAGTAAATACTTTACCACTTCTGTCTAGGTTCGGGTTAGTCCTATCGGGACTTATTTTCATGAAGTAGTCTCCATGAAGTAGTCTCTTTGATTATTCGATCAACATAAACTTAACGAGTCATTGTACTTTTGTCGAACCTTTATTTCGTTGTATGTCGAACCTTTATTTCGTTGTATGTCGAACCTTCTGACACTTTCCACTTAACCCCCTACTGCCTTTTCCCTCTTCCCTACCCCGTTCTTTTTCTTCTTTCTCTCCTCCTTTCACTCCCATATCTCCCTCTCCATCCTTATTTTTACAGGCAGTCAGCTTGAGGTGAACCAAAAGGCTATGAGCATTCAGGTAAGATGCTTTCTAGTTGTCACCTGTTTGATGATGTCATACTGTCCTTAGAGTGGATAATTCCACGCCGTCGTTTGGGTCGTGCAGGTTCTCGCGTAGTTTGCTGACTTCAGCTGATCAGTTGCGTAGTTGATTCCGGCGCTTCTCAGCTTTATTTTCACCCTACTGCAACTCGCTTCGGTCAACCTGCTTTTGCTTACCTTCTCCTCCTTTCCTCGGCCTCTGCAGTGCAAGGTGTGCATGCAAACGTTAATCTTTTAAGTCGACTTAAAAGTCACCTTGTGTTATCCTGCTTTCTCTCTCCTTTTTTCTCCGTCTCTGCAGTGCAAGGTGTGCATGCAAACATTCATCTGCACGACGAACGAGGCCAAGTGCAGAGAACATGCAGACGCACGGCACCCCAAGCACGACTTCTATGTGTGCTTCCCGCATCTCAAGCAGTGATCGCACCCCAAGGTACATGTTCTAGGGTTTGGGTAATCTAGAAGGCGAGATAGAATTGATTCAGGTCACGTGACTTTTGAGTCGACTCAAAAGTCACCCCAAGAACGACTTTTATCAGTGCTTCCTTCATCTCAAGCGGTGACGGGACCTAAGGGTACGAGTGGTTTGGTTTGTTTTGAATTGGAAAAAAAGGAGTGAGTCAGGCTGCGTCGGATATGTGGAGGGGGGGGGGTTGTTGGGTGTGGGGGGAAAGGGAAGGCGGGGAGGGTGTGGGGGATGGAAGAGGGGCGGAGGACATGAGGGAGAAGTGGGGTGATGGTGGGGAAGGGATGAGGGGTTGGGGGGGGGGGGGGAGAGGAGGGAGGGATGGTGGAGAGGGGGTATGAAGGGAAGGGAAAAGGGTTTGAGCATGTTTACATGACCTCTGTTCTAACATGAATGAGAGGTAGGCCAGTTTGATTCTGCAGATGATTGAAAAGCTTGGATGGGCTTGTTGACCCTAGAAGGTACTATGGAGAGGATGGGGAGACTGGAAGGGGATGGCATCTTGTATACGACTGCAGGAGTGTACATTTCAAGTGAAGGTTTTTGGCTGGATTAGCACATGCTTCTTTCCTGCGCTCTCCCATCGGCCTCCCATCTGTGATTTATCAGGCGTTTTCCCTTCAAGTGATCAATGTTTTCCTTCAGCATGTGGTTCTTAAGGTGTCTCAGCGTGGTTTCCTTCCTCCTCTTTTGCTGTCTTTTGCTGACCTGGTATTATTGTGCCTCAGCCATGTGTTCTAGGGAGGCGGCTCCTTAAAGGCAGTTTTACACCCAGTCCAAGCTTTTGAAACCCAACTGTAGCATTGTCTGCTTAGCTTCTGATTTTTTTGCTCAATTTAGTTGCGGCGGAAAACGACAGTCTTCTTTGTCTTCGCCTGTCGTACCCTCGTGTAGAGACTTTCTCTAGCTTCGTGGTTCACTGCAGTGCTTTCATCAATAGAACATGTAGCGCTTCATTTTAGCTCAAGTACACGACAGTTTCAGCTTAGATTTTGTTGAGCAGAATGAATGGCACACTTGTCACATGCAGTTCAAGTGCCACCATTAATTAATGTGGGCGTGATTCAGGTGTAACGTGTGCTTGTGTCTCCGGAGTATGCCACAGTAAACTCACTGAAGGTATTTTCTATTTGACGCATCACCTCATGTCCAGGCCTCATTCAGAGCCACGTGCCCCGAGTACAACCTCCCATTGGTCGATCTCAGCTCGTCGATCAGGCGGTTCCAATTTGACGCCAGTGCACCGACGAAATAATCCGCTTGAGTCGTGATGATGAGATTTGCGAAAATCTCTCCCGTGCGCTGCTTGTCCTTCACATGCTCCTCCTGCATCTGCGTTGCACTCGTCACTCGCCCACTCGTGGTGTAGTGGAAGGTCCAATCCGGGAAGCTGGAAGTTTCTTCTATCACACTCTGCCAGGGAGGTCGGGAGGGAAAGGGAGAGGGCTCGTTATATGGCAGCGGGGAAATGGAGTTGGAGTTATGTCAATCAGGCCAATCACACTCTAAGAGACGGAGTTGGACAGGGAAGGTGACACACATTCGGTATGGGGATGGGGAGGAGGAGGACTTGCTGTTAAGAGGTGGGTAATGGGATGTGTGGAAGGGAAGGGGATACGTGAAGAAGAGGGAAGAGGGTACTGAATGTGAGGAAAGGGAGGAGATAATATGGAAAGGGGGGGTGGGGAGAGAGGGGTGGGAGTGGGGAAGACATGATACATTCCATTACCTCATACAAACGCTCACATGCTTGCATCACTGTTCTCCTTATAAGCAGACACACAAGCTTACCTGCATCTCTGTGCTGAGCCACACATGCTCCAGGTTCGGCACGTGCGCCTGCACCGCAGCTTATACAACAAGCTCACTCACCTGCTTGAGCGTACCCCTTGTAAGCAGAACCACAGGCTCACCTATACACAGAAGCTTACCTGCATTTCCGTGCTGAGCCACACATGCTCCAGGTTCGGCACGTGCACCCGCAACTTGTACCACTAGCTCACCTGGTTGAGTGTACCCCTTATAAGCAGAACCACAGGCTCACCTATACACAGAAGCTCACCTGCATCTCTGTGCTGAGCCAAACGTGCTCCAGGTTCGGTACGTGTGCCCGCAACTTATACATAAAATACATGTAAGTCGCGAAAAAGTGTAGCTTCATCTCGAGGTATTTGTCGCTCAGCCGCACGTGCAGGCTGACATACGGACGGAATATAAACGGTTCATCTTGTGACGAGGAAAACTCCACCGCCGCTCCTCCCCCCGCATTCGCACTCCCCGCTCCCGCACACACCTCGGACTCATTACACCTCGTTCCCACACACCCCGCAAACCCCTTCATCTGCCATACAGTCCCGGCTAGGCTCGACTTGTAAGCAACGGATGGGGGAACAGCAGAAGAGGCGTCGGGGAGGGTGTTCAAGTGCTGGGATTCCGGAGTGTTGGGGGGTGTGGAGTGGAGTATGGATTGCTGCTTGGCTGTAGCGGCTACAACCCGCTCTGCTACAGTCATTCCGTAGGTGTTGTGGCGGACGCGGTTGGTGATGTGGCAGAGGAGAGCAGAGGGCCAGCGCATGAGAAAGCGTGCGGTTTGCGACCGCCACCAGCGCTCCTGTTTAATGGGACGAGGGGTGGGGGAAAGGGGGAGAGAAACAAGGCGCATGCGGTTGGTATTGTGGCAGAGGAGAGCGGACGGCCAGCGCAGTTTGGGACCGCCACCAGCTTTCCTGATTGAAGGGGAAAGACAAGGGGGAAGGGGGGCAAAAAGTCAATTGCGGCTGGTGATGTTGCAATGTGCCGCTCACCCCAATGTGCTGCTCACCCCAATGTGCTGCTCACCCCAACGTGCTGCTCACCCCAACGTGCTGCTCACCCCAACGTGCTGCTCACCCCAACGTGCCACTCACCCCAACGTGCTGCTCACCCCAACGTGCTGCTCACCCCAACGTGCTGCTCACCCCAACGTGCTGCTCACCCCAACGTGCTGCTCACCCCAACGTGCTGCTCACCCCAACGTGCTGCTCACCCCAACGTGCTGCTCACCCCAACGTGCTGCTCACCCCAACGTGCTGCTCACCCCAACGTGCTGCTCACCCCAACGTGCTGCTCACCCCAACGTGCTGCTCACCCCAACGTGCTGCTCACCCCAATGTGCTGCTCACCCCAATGTGCTGCTCACCCCAATGTGCTGCTCACCCCAATGTGCTGCTCACCCCAATGTGCTGCTCACCCCAATGTGCTGCTCACCCCAATGTGCTGCTCACCCCAATGTGCTGCTCACCCCAATGTGCTGCTCACCCCCATGTGCTCCTCACCCCCATGTGCTGCTCACCCCAATGTGCTGCTCACCCCAATGTGCTGCTCACCCCAATGTGCTGCTCAACCCAATGTGCTGCTCACCCCAATGTGCTGCTCACCCCAATGTGCTGCTCACCCCAATGTGCTGCTCACCCCAACGTGCCACTCACCCCAATGTGGTTGTCGTTGGCCGGCCAAATCTTCCCCAGCTGCTCGATGGTGAATGGATGCTCCAGCTCCGGCGGTCTGCCGTCAGGCGCCACCCAGAGGCTGGTAGGGTGAGGGCAAGGGTGTGGAGAAAATAGAGCGGGTGTGGAGAGGGAAGGGAGATGAGGAGTCAGAGCAGTGGTTGTCGTTGGCCATCCAGATCCTCCCCAGCTGCTCGATGGTGAATGGATGCTCTAGCTCCGGCGGTCTGCCGTCAGGCGCCACCCAGAGGCTGATGGGGTGAAGGAAGGGAGGAGAGGGAGTGGAGGGAAGCGGTACATGAAGGGAGATAGATGGGTAATGGATGCTCTCTCCCTGGGGGTCTGCCGTCAGGCGCCACCCAGGGGCTGATGGGGCGAGGACAAGGGCATGACAGGGAAGTGCGGAAAGCAAGAGATGAGAGGGTGTGGAGAGGGGCGGAAAGAGGTACGGTGCTCTCGATGGTGAACGGATGCTCTAGCTCTAGGGGGGAGGGGGGGGGGGGGGGGGGGGGGGGGGGTTCTGTCGTCAGGCGCCACCCAGGGGCTGATGAGGAAAGACCACGACAGGGAGGGGAAGCAAGAACAGGGGGTATGGAAAGAAGCAGGGTTCTAAGGTAGAGGGATTTTTGAAGAAGTGTTTTGAGACGTCTCAAAACACTTCTTCAAACACGTCTCAAAACACTTCAGCAAGAACAGGGGGTATGGAAAGAAGCAGGGTTCTAAGGTAGAGGGATTTTTGAAGAAGTGTTTTGAGACGTCTCAAAACACTTCTTCAAACACGTCTCAAAACACTTCAGCAAGAACAGGGGGTATGGAAAGAAGCAGGGTTCTAAGGTAGAGGGATTTTTGAAGAAGTGTTTTGAGACGTCTCAAAACACTTCTTCAAACACGTCTCAAAACACTTCAGCAAGAACAGGGGGTATGGAAAGAAGCAGGGTTCTAAGGTAGAGGGATTTTTGAAGAAGTGTTTTGAGACGTCTCAAAACACTTCTTCAAACACGTCTCAAAACACTTCAGCAAGAACAGGGGGTATGGAAAGAAGCAGGGTTCTAAGGTAGAGGGATTTTTGAAGAAGTGTTTTGAGACGTCTCAAAACACTTCTTCAAACACGTCTCAAAACACTTCAGCAAGAACAGGGGGTATGGAAAGAAGCAGGGTTCTAAGGTAGAGGGATTTTTGAAGAAGTGTTTTGAGACGTCTCAAAACACTTCTTCAAACACGTCTCAAAACACTTCAGCAAGAACAGGGGGTATGGAAAGAAGCAGGGTTCTAAGGTAGAGGGATTTTTGAAGAAGTGTTTTGAGACGTCTCAAAACACTTCTTCAAACACGTCTCAAAACACTTCAGCAAGAACAGGGGGTATGGAAAGAAGCAGGGTTCTAAGGTAGAGGGATTTTTGAAGAAGTGTTTTGAGACGTCTCAAAACACTTCTTCAAACACGTCTCAAAACACTTCAGCAAGAACAGGGGGTATGGAAAGAAGCAGGGTTCTAAGGTAGAGGGATTTTTGAGGCGCCTCAAAAATCACGACAGGGAGGGGAAGCAAGAACGTCACGTGCAGAGGAAGTTTGTTCCCCATACGCGCTCGTAACAGCTCGTCCAGTCTGCTCATGTAGAGGATAGCGAAGCAAACAGCCACCGAGGTTCCCATTGCCGTTCCCTGTATTTGCCGAAACAGTCTCCCGTTAAAATCCACGTACGAATTGAACATCACCCATTCCAGCAACGCCATAATGACAGGTGCGTTCGGGAAGTGCAGAGGGTCGCGTTCTAAAAAGGATCTGACGACATCGACACCCTCCCGAAGAGGAATTGAAGGGTAGAGCGCCTGAACATCATAAGTAGCGAGCAGGAGATTGTTTTTCGGGAACGGGGTCTTCTCCAAATGAAGAAGCAGCGACAAAGAATCTCTCAGGTATGTAGGCTGCCGGAGTACCAAAGGTCGTAAAGCTGTATCAAGCCAGCGACTAACATTCGCGGTCACCCAGGAATGTGACGCGGCGATGGGCCTTCCGACAGGTACTTTCTTGTGGACTTTCATGATGACGTAAAAAATGGCGGGTTTCCAGCCGTTAACCGATGGGTGTTGAAAGAAATTCCAGAGATACTTAGGCAGCAGCGGTTCGAAATTGAAACGGATGTCTGACAGCTTGGCTAAGACCGTGATTCGAGGATCTTCAAAATCAGGGTCTGACGTCGAAACTTCCTTGTTACTCCTGTCCAGAAGGTGGTTAAAACACTCGGTAATGTATGACGATCTATCCATCAGAGTGATCCCTAAATTCTTGTCAGCCGGCTTGATGTTTAGGTCAGTGTTGGAAGAGAGCTCAGAAATGGCCTTGTAGTAACCTTTGGGAAGGAAAGGCCCTTTGCGAACAATTGGTCGAGAAAAAAGCAAAGATAAATCTTTCCTTGTCTCCTCGAACACTGCTTCCAGCTGCTCGTCCTTTTCAGGCAGCCAGTCAGGATTGCTGACGCGGAAACGGCTGTCGGAACGGCCTTCTCCTTTAAAGAATTCCTGGAGTCTAATTGACCTGAACAGGTTCGTAAAATCTTTAGTGATGTCAGAGGAAGAAAATGGAGGTGAGTGCGGCAACACAAACTTAAGCCCGAGTCCAAGAACATTGCGTTCAGCAGGAGTCAAGGTATGAGAGCTCAAGTTGTGAATTCCGTGGTTGGTGATGCGAGTCTTAGCCTGGGACTCTGTCATCCTACCAAACCACCGGAGTGCTAGTTCTTGGCTGCTTAGTTGTGCTGACCCCTTGCGGGGCCTCCTCCGTTTTTTGGCCGATGCGGGTAACATCTCTTATTCTTCTTCTTCTTATCCCTCTGATCACCTGCAGGTTGCTGCTGCTGCTGCTGGTTCTGCTGCTGAGGCTGCTTTGGCGCCTTCTGCTGCTGTACCTGTTGCTGCTGCTGCTGCTGCTGCTGCTGCTGTCCCTGCTGTTGCTGCTGTTTCTGTGTGGAGGATGGCTGGTTAAGCAGTTCCAGTTTTTCAAGGCGTTGAAGCACCGCGGAGAGCTTTGAATCTACAACATCCTTGGCAACTTCTTGCATACTGGGCTCAGTCTCCATTTTCTGGAGCGCCTCCTGAGCTGCCTTCTTCACCATCTCCGCCTCGTTCTTTAACCGCTGATTCTCATGAAAGTCCATGAAGGCTTTAGTTTGCTGTATCTCGATAGCTTGATTAGCTTCCTGGATAAGTAGGACCTTGAAGTATTCCATGACCTCAACGGCTTTGTTGCGTCGTGGATCGTCCTCCATGGCTTTAATGCCATTAATATAAGTGGAGATTAACCCATCCAGGAGAGTAGCAGCACTGTTGGCTTCTGAAAAAGCCGTAGCCATAAGTTCTTCTTTAGCTTTAATGAAAACTTCTTGCTGGAGCTTGAGAGAATCATTATGCAAAGAAGAAATCTTGTCATCAGCGACTTTTTTGATTGCTTCATTGGAGGTCTGAAACTGGACAGCCTTGGTCCTCATACTGTGAAGTAATTCTCCTCGGCTGTTAATCAGCTTCATTTTAGCAACCTGTTGCTTGAGGCTCAGAAAAGTGTTGTATGATTTGATGCCTTTAGAGATAGCTTCTTGTTGCCACTTCTTGAATGGAGGTGGACATAACTCGTGGCCAAAACTAGATCCAAGATCATGTAGCATAGGGCCTGATTCCTGTCCTTGACCGCCATCTGGCGTTAAAGCCGCTTCCAGCGGTCTCTGGGAGATATTCACTCCGTGGATCACATTAACACCTGCATTGTCTGCGTTAGAAGCCATAGCAGGTGACGCGGACGCTACTCTTTTTGGAGTTTTAAATCGTTGTCGTCGTAATGTCTTAGGATGTGTGATGGAGTATGGAACCGGAGTAAACTCAAATTTCCCGTTATCCAGCCGTCGAGAATCTTCCGATTCCTCCCGCTGACGCTTAGTAGCGCGAAAAACGAAGAAACGTGAGGTCTCGTAAAGGACCTCTGAGTCGGATGAATCGTTATCAGAAGATGAAACGCCTTCGGCCACAACCGTGTTAAAAGGTGCAGGAGCTGTCAAGAGAGGACAGGTGGGCTGCGGAGGCCTTACTTCCATCAACTCGTGTTGTTTAGGACAACGAAACAAACTCCATGAGAAATGGCGGAAGGAGCCTGGTGTGCTTAGCTTGAAAACGTTGTTGAGAGAGCCAGTTTAAAACAAATCTTCACTAAAGAATCAGGGACATTGCAAACTAGTTTCGGCTTTTGCAAGCCTTCATCAGTACAAGCCTGAAACTAAAGATCAGAAATGAAGAAAACTGGCTAAAATACTCTACGCTCAGGCTAGGCTAACCAGGACATGACGGGAATGAAGATCGAATGTGAAAGAGGCGACGAGAGGAGCAGACAGCTTCGGTCCAATCTCTAGGAACCAGAATTGGAATCCTCGGAGTGGTTGGAATCTGGAACCGAAGAGGTGGGGTAACCACTTGTGTCGCGCGAGAGGTTCGCTGCAACAGGTCGCAGCCTCGATTGAATCAGTCTTCGACGTAAGCGGGAAGGTAATTTCCACGCCAACAAAAATCTACAGGAACCAGAAGAATAGCCACGTGTTTGAAGAAGTGTTTTGAGACGTCTCAAAGCAAGAACGGGGGGTATGGAAAGAAGCAGGATTCTAAGGTAGAGGGAGAGAGAGGAGCACCCTCCTGCCTGGTGGCTCTAGCGGCGTTGTGGTGGTAACGCGTGCCATTACAGATCACCACTTGAGTCGCCGACGCCACCACCATTGAGCACCATCACAGCATAGCCTTATAACCTGGCAGCACCCACCTGGCAGCACCCACCTGGCAGCACCCACCTGGCAGCACCCACCTGGCAGCTCTAGCGGCGTCGTGGTGGTAGTGTGTGTCATTACAGATCACCACCTGAGTAGCCGAAGCCAGAACCGTCACATTGGTGTCATTGAACAGAGCAATTGGCGCTGCTGCCTCTGCTGCTTCTGCTGCTGCCAACACACATGGAAAGGAGCAGGAATCTTGGCAAAGCGAGAGAGGGGAGGAGCACCCACCTGGCAGCTCTGGCGGCGTCGTGGTGGTAGTGTGTGTCATTACAGATGACCACTGGAGTAGCTGAAACGAGCACCATGTGTTGTATGCAGCCCACCCATCCACCCACCTGGCAGCACCCACCTGGCAGCACCCACCTGGCAGCACCCACCTGGCAGCACCCACCTGGCAGCTCTAGCAGCGTCGTGGTGGTAGTGTGTGTCATTACAGATGACCACTGGAGTAGCTGAAACGAGCACCATGTGTTGTATGCAGCCCACCCATCCACCCACCTGGCAGCACCCACCTGGCAGCACCCACCTGGCAGCACCCACCTGGCAGCACCCACCTGGCAGCACCCACCTGGCAGCTCTAGCAGCGTCGTGGTGGTAGTGTGTGTCATTACAGATGACCACTGGAGTAGCTGAAACGAGCACCATGTGTTGTATGCAGCCCACCCATCCACCCACCTGGCAGCACCCACCTGGCAGCACCCACCTGGCAGCACCCACCTGGCAGCACCCACCTGGCAGCTCTAGCAGCGTCGTGGTGGTAGTGTGTGTCATTACAGATGACCACTGGAGTAGCTGAAACGAGCACCATGTGTTGTATGCAGCCCACCCATCCACCCACCTGGCAGCACCCACCTGGCAGCACCCACCTGGCAGCACCCACCTGGCAGCACCCACCTGGCAGCACCCACCTGGCAGCTCTAGCAGCGTCGTGGTGGTAGTGTGTGTCATTACAGATGACCACTGGAGTCGTCGAAGCCAGCACCGTCTCCTTGGTGTCGTTGAACAGAGCAATGGGTGCTGCTGCCTCTGCTGCTAACGCGACTTTGAGGCAGTCTGGGGAGGCGACGGGGAAGAAGTAGCACTCCCACTCGCCCTCCTGTCCAATGTCTGAGGTGCGGGGTGCCAGTGGCATGGCAAGGCAATAGAGTCGGCAAGGGTTGAAGACTGTGGAGTGATGAGCGCTGAGACAGACTGACCCCATGTCACATGAACCATGCTGCCCGTCCCGTGGTGTGCTTTGGCGGCCAGTGCAACGGGGGTTACTGGGAAGTGCTTTAAGAGGGTGTTTGGTTGGTGTGCTGATCCCCTCCCTGACACACTCCACACTGTACCCTGTGTGATAAGTTGAGTTTAAAGTCGACTCAACACTCCACACCCTACCCTGCTTCACTCGCACCTGCACACTCCTGCCCACTGGCGCGGAGGAAGGTGCGAGGGCGGATGACGAGCATTCTGGTGTGCCGCACAGCCATTCCCTTCCTTAAACTCCCCACCTGTGCTGTACCACCCAACCCCTTGTATCTCTCCCTAGCACACTCCCCCCCACTGGCGCGGAGGAAGGTGCGAGGGCGGATGACGAGCATTCTGGTGTGCCGCACAGCCATTCCCTTCCTTAAACTCCCCACCTGTGCTGTACCACCCAACCCCTTGTATCTCTCCCTAGCACACTCCCCCCCACTGGCGCGGAGGAAGGTGCGAGGGCGGATGACGAGCATTCTGGTGTGCTGATTCCCTTCCTAACCCACTACCCACATGTACCCCGTTCCCCACTCCCACCTGCACACTCCTGCCCACTAGCGCGGTGGAAGGTGCGAGGGCAGATGACAAGAGTTCGATTGTGCTGCACAGTCTAGCTTCGAGGTGCCTCAAAACTAGCCGCACAGCCGCATTCAGAAACAACCCCACCACATGCACCATGCTGCCGGTGCCGTGGTGCTTGGTGGGCAGTGCTTCGGGTGGCACTTTAGGGGGTGCTTGGGGTGCCGAACTCTTTGCTAGAACTCTTTGCTAGCACACTGCACGCTGCACGCCCCCCACTCCCCCCCCCCACCCCCTCCTCCCCCTCCCCCCTCCCCCACCTCACCTGCGCACTCCTGCCCACTGGCACGGTGGAAGGTGCGGGGGCGAATCACAAGAGTTCGATTGTGCCTCACAGCCGCATTCAGAAACGGCCCCATGACATGCACCATGCTGCCCGTGCCGTGGTGCTTGGGTGGGGGGATGGTGCTTGCTTGGAGGGCCAGTGCTTGGGGTGGTGAGGGGCTTGGGTTGAGTACCTGCGCACTCCTGCCCACTGGCGCGGTGGAAGGTGCGGGGGCGGATCACGAGCGTCCTGTTGTGCCGAACAGCAGCATTCAGAAACGACCCCATCACATGCACCATGTTGCCCGTGCCGTGGTGCTTTGGCGGCCAGTCGGTAATCATTAGCCGCCGCCCCGCACAGCTGGCGGGGAACTGCCGCTCCCACAGGTCCCGCTGGAAGACACGTGTCAGCGCGAGATTCGCCGCATCGGAACCGCGGATCTGGGTTTTGGGGAAACGGGTCAGGGGGGGAGAGGGGAATGGAGTGGAGGAGTGGAGAGCAAGAGGGAAGGAGAGCGGGGGATGTGTGTGATGTGAAGTTGTGGGGGATGGTGGCAGGAAAGAGAGAAGTGAGTTGCGTGCAGTGGCAGGACTTGCCCGGTCGCACCCGCTCAGGGTCTTTGCTGCTTGCACTGTGCTCGACCTTACCAATACCATCTAAATACAAACTCACTCACCCACGGCGGCTGGGGCGTGCAGTTGCATTGCAGCACTTGCCCGGCCGAACCCACTCAGGGTCCTCCCCATGCGCCCCCCTCGCCTCTGCCTTCAGTCTCAGCGCCATCTTGGCCGTGCAATTCTCTCTCTAGGTGGGGACGATTTGTGGGGCCAATAGACTCACCCACGGCGGCTGGGGCGTGCAGTTGCAGCACTTGCCCGGCCGAACCCACTCAGGGTCCTCCCCGTTTGCCCCACGCGCCTCTGCTTTCACCCTCAGCGCAGTCTTGGCCGTGCAGTCCTCCAGGTGGGGCGCTGGAGGGACGTCCGGGGGAAGGAGAGCGGCGAGGGCGAGCGAGTGGTGTCGTCTGCTAGGTTATAGACTTTGGTCCATGCCTGTAGAGGGTGGGGAGGGATGGGGGGCGGTGGAGAGGGGTGGGGATGAGTTATAATGCAGTGTTGGCGGTGCAATCTCGCCTCTGCCTTCACCCTCAGCGCAGTCTTGGCGGTGCAGTCCTCTAGGTGGGGCACTGGGGGGAAAGTCCGGGGGGAAAGAGAGCGGCGAGGGCGAGCGAGTGGTGTCGTCTGCTAGGGTCCAGGACTGGGAAGGGTGGAGAGGGGTGGGGAACAGGGGGAACCAGCATAGGAGCCTACCTCGTGAAGGCGCTTTGCAGCTTCCGCTAATTCCGGGCTGATCTGCGGCATTCCTTGTCCCGCGGGAATCGCGGCGCCAAGCACGGTGAGCGCCAAGAGCGGGACCAGAACCCATCCGCTGCACCCCATCCGCGATATAGATTGTCCCAGAAATCGACCCAAATTTTCGTAAAATATACTTCCTTTTTATGAATCAAAATGCGCCGCTGGAACTAGTCGACGGTCGCGCATGTCGTGTCAGAAACCACAACGGAGTCACGATTCTAGGCAGGCTGCTGCTTCTGAAATTTCGCGATATTCGCTAAGTTTCGCGGAACTTGGCACTCGCCTGATGGTAATTCAGCACATTTATTGGTTGGACATTGCAATTCAGGAAAAAGACCAGCTTGACGATTGTCCCACTGATCCTATTGACCGGGTGAAATGACCTGGTTGGGAGGCCTATTACTAGGAAACACGATGTCGTGAGGTTGTGTCGGAAACATGTAGGAGGGTCTGGAGCTGTGAGCGCGAAATGCGGGCGCGTACGCGATACAACACGAGGTCGTCAGTCGACCAATCCAGTAAGAGGAAATGTTTGGTTTGGTGACGGAACTTCATAGACGCTGCGAACATCCCACGCTGTTGATACTCGATACTAAGAACTTCGCATTTGAACAAGTACGGTGGATTCCACAAATAGACGTATATATATTTTCCCTCGAGGTTGAACCAGTTTGGAGCACCTCCTTAAACAGTTCGCACGGGAGCCTTTGTTGCAAACACTGGCACTTATAACACACAAAGTTTCAAGCTGTGCGCATTGGTTCGACTAAGGCTCACAAGTTTTCAACATTAACTGCCATACTAGACACGCCCTCGGTCTTCGTGATTATCTGCAGGTCACGGTTCCAACCTCCAGGCACAGCTAGAATCTCTACCTGTGCTGCGAGTTTTCAGGATAGTATACGGGCAATCAATTCATAAAAAGGACACCTTTCGTGTACGGGCTACGGGTGCTCGAGTTTCCAAGGATATATATCGCAATTTCGCAAGCTTCTCGCGATTTCGGGTCAGCTTTTGTCGAGGACTTCCACATTGCGAAAATGAGTGCAAGCGTGAGGACGCACGCCTTGCTGTCCTCGCGTACACTCCATCCCCGATACAAACCGCACGGCACCCTCAACGCGTCCAACCTTTCGTCTCTTCAGCCTACAAACGTCTTCCCAAACATTTCGCAAAAAGCATCCATTCGCCTCCCCGTCCGGTCCCCTTCCCCCGCGCTCGTCACCGCGCAAGCGGGGAGAGGCTTCGGAAAGAAGACGGCGGCCGGCAGCAAGGCCAAGCCGGCCGGCAGCAGCGCCGGCAGCAGCAAACTGCTGGAGGAGCTTGGCGCCGCCGGAGCTCCAGGATCTGCGCCAGTGGGAAAAGCGGGGGGAGCGGGGGCGGAAGCGGCGGAAGCTGCGGTGTGTCCGTGCGGGGGGGGCGGGGAGGGGGAGAAGCGCGCATACAAGGAGTGCTGCGCGCGGTACCATGGGGGGGTGAAGGAACCAGACGCTGTTTCCCTCATGAGTGAGTTGTAACTGGTGTGCGTAACATGGTAACCATTGCAGTACCATAGGAGAAATTCTGCGCGCGGTAAAATGGAGGGGTGAAGGAACCAGACGCAGTTTCCCTCATGAGTGAGTACACTGCAATCATGGTAACCAAAATCTTCGTCAGTAACATGGTAGCCATTGCTGTACCATGGGGAGGGGGGACGGGGGGAGGAGGGGGGAAGGGGGGGTGTGAAGGAAGGAACCAGACGCTTTTTTTTCTCATGAGTGAGCACACTGAAATTATGGTTACCAGAATCTTGGTGTGTAACATGGTTACCATTGTGGTACCTGACGCCTTAAACCCTGAACCTTTGTGAAGTGATCCGCTTCTCTTTCTTTCCAGAGGCGCGGTACTCGGCCTTTGCCTTTTGAGGCGCCTCAAAATACACCTCAGGTGCCTTAAACCCTGAACCTTTGTGAAGTGATCCCCTACTCTTTCTTTCCAGAGGCGCGCTACTCAGCCTTTGCCAAGGGTGTGATTCCGTACCTCGTGCGCACAACACACATGGGGACAACCCCAACGCGGCCCATGGGGTAGTAGCAGAGGGGCGCAACACACACCCTCTCTTCAACCCTTTCCTGCCCTCCCTGAACACCAATCCTGAACTCTTTTCTGCCCTTTCCATTTTCTCCTCCCTTTCCAGAGGCGCGGTACTGGGCCTTTGCCAACCAAGGGTGTGATTCCCTACCTCGTGTGCACAACACACACGGGGACGACAACCCCAACACGGCTCATGGGGTAGCAGAGGGGCGCAACACACCACCTTAGCAGAGTCGACTCAAAAATAGGCCGAATAGCGTGCCTCGTCAACCCTTTCCTGCCCTCCTTCACTCTCTCCCCACCTCTCTGAACCCTCCTTGTCTCCCTTTCCAGAGGCACGCTATCCAGCCTTTGCAAACGGTGTGATTTCCTATATCGTGCGCACAACACATGGGGATGGCACCCGGGGGAGCAGAGGGGTGTGCAGATCACCAATTTCTGAAATCTTTTCTGCCCTTTCCACTTTCTCCTCCCTTTGCAGAGGCTCGCTATACTTCTCTTGCCAAAGGTGTGGTTCCCTACATCGTGCCCACAACACATGAACGCAACCCCATCATGGGATGGCCCCCGGGGGAGCAGAGGGGCGCAACACAACACACCTGCCTTGATCCCTTACCTGCCTGCCCTCCTTTTCTCCCCCTCCAGAGGCACGTTACTCAGCCTTTGCCAAGGGTGTGATTCCCTACATCGTGCGCACAACACATGAACGCAACCCCAACATGGGATGGCCCCCGGGGGAGCAGAGGGGCGCAACACAACACACCTGCCTTGATCCCTTACCTGCCTGCCCTCCTTTTCTCCCCCTACAGAGGCACGTTACTCAGCCTTTGCCAAGGGTGTGATTCCCTACATCGTGCGCACAACACACGAGGACAACCCCAACATGGCGCCCGGGGGAGCAGAGGGGCGCAAGAAGCTGACTGCAGACTGCGAGGAGACGTGCAAGCGGCTGGTGTTCAAACGCCTCGAGATCCTTTCCACTGAGGAGGGGGAGAATGATGATGTGAGTGTACGGGATGTAACTATATTAATGTCTAACCGAGGTGATTTTTGAGTTGGTTCAAAACTGGCACCCGGGGGAGCAGAGGGGCTCAAGAAGCTGACTGCTGACTGCGAGGAGACGTGTAAGTGGCTGGTCTTCAAACGCCTGGAGGTTCTTTCCACTGAAGCGGGGGAGAATGATGATGTGAGTGTAGGGGGTGTGCGTGTAGGGAGTGTGGCTGTGGCGCAATGATTGTTGTAACAGGGTGCATGCCTTAGCTTTCGAGGAGACGTGCAAGCAAGCAGCTGGTCTTCAAACGCCTGGAGAACCTATCCAATAAGGAGGGGGAGAATGACGATGTGAGTGTAGGGGGTGTGCATGTAGGTAGTGTGTGTGGCTGTGCCACCACCACCCGACATCCAAATCCTCATCCCCCCCTCCTCTCAACTGGCCCTTCTCCCGATAACCATATTCCCCCTTCTTCCGATAACCATATTCCCCCTGCTCTCACCCCGCCTCCCTCTTTCCACAGGAGGCCTTTGTCTCGTTCCGAGCAATCTACAACGTACAAGCACGGCACCACCACCGACAATAAAATCCACGTTGAGAAATCCCGCTTCGTGCGCGGCCCAGACTCGGGCCACTGGCTGTACCACGAAAATATCCGCCTACGTGCTCTTGCTCCCCTTTCTCCCTCACTCCCTGGTTCCTCCCCCCACAGGAGAAGCCACGTGTAAAAATATTATTTTTGAGACGTCTCGAAAATATCCCCCTACGTGCTCTTGCTCCCCTTTCTCCCTCACTCCCTGGTTCCTCCCCCCACAGGAGAAGCCACGTGTAACAATATTATTTTTGAGACGTCTCGAAAATATCCCCCTACGTGCTCTTGCTCCCCTTTCTCCCTCACTCCCTGGTTCCTTCCCCCACAGGAGTCTTTTGTCTCGTTCCGAGCAGTCTACGCCTACAAGCACGGCACCACCACCGACAACCAGATCCTAGTCGAGAAATCCCTCTTTGTGCGTGACCCAGAGTCAGGCCGATGGCTGTACCGCGAGAAGATTCCTCTAGACGTGGCTTCAGAGGCGGCGTGGCGGCTGGGTCCCGCTTTGGTAGAGCAGGAGCAGCAGCAGAGTGGGAGGAAGTCGTATGTCATGCGAGGAGCAGCACAGCCGAAGCTACGGCCCAGGTCCAGTTGATAGAGGGCTTGTTGTATCAGAGAAGAATCCAGGTTACAATAAACTCTGTTTGGAGTTTGATGTGCAAGTAGGGCCCTAGAGGCTCTTGGATTGCAGTTTTTGGAGAAATTTCAATGATTTATAAATTCTCAAGAAACGCGATCGTCGTCCTGCTATAGCTCAGTTGGTAGAGCGGAGGACTGTAGTTGAGCAATCCTTAGGTCACTGGTTCGAATCCGGTTGGCGGGATCATTTTGCCTCCCTAGAAGTACTAGGGGTTTTTGCGTCCTATGGTATGGTAATTTCAGCTTCTCTTCCTCACTCACTTACAGTACTGGTATGGTACCGGTGACAAAGAAGTACTACTTCACCTGGCTCTCATGAGGTTGGTGCACCTCAAAAGAAGCTGGAAGAGGAAGCTGATGGGATGCGCATTGGGCATGCATCAGATCACCATTCCATGTTACCATATTGTTCCATGCTAATCATGGTTACATGCTGATCGACATATTGTTGCACTACTGACTGGCAGCCGCAGCTAACCATGCCATAACAAGATCACCAGGCTTCTTCAAATTTTCATCCAATATTGATCCATTGTACACGTAGCTAGTTACCACAGGTATCTACCCTGACAAGGGTGGGGTGAGTGGTTTCGAAGTACGTAGCAGAACCGCCCTAGTGGTGTCGCTTTAGACTCGTTCTACGCAAGTAGTTGTTTAGAAAGAGCAAAACTGACCTAGTGGTATCGCTTTAGCACCTTCTCAATGAGAAAA